GTAGGAAAGATGTTCTCATTTCCTTTCCACACTTGTTTCATTTTTGAGAGTTGCAAAAGCAGGAATGTCTAGTTAGTTATGATTGATAGTTTTTCCCAGGACATAATCCCCTTTCATTTGAGAATCAGCTCATCTTATTTTATTCTCCAAGTCTTTTCTTCCTCTGTGCCATTCTAGCTGCCTTGCTGCCTGTCACCTGGCCCTTCATGAAACAGGGCCAGTGAATTGAGAGCAAGATGAAAGAAGTAGACTAGAGCATCTAGTTTGAATGTGAATAAATAGTATGCCACAAATACCTTGCTAGACAAATGAAAAGTCTTCTTTCTACTTGCCCTTAGAGGCTTTTCAAGAGCTCAAGAGGAAACACCCACTAGGATCCCAAGTTGGTGATGTCTTAAGGTGCTTAAAAGGCAGTGGGCTTTTCAAGAACCCATGACTGGGCTTCCTCCTCCACCGGGTTGAAGCCATCTTTTCTGGTTTTCCTTATCCGAATCTCTTAAGTGCTTGACTTCATTGTAAAGCCAGACTAAAGGAAATTTAGGAAGAAATGGAAAGATACTAGATTAATTTAATTTGTGTTGTACTTTGCACATACCTGTGTGTTTCTGTAGAGGTTCATGGATGTGCATGTTTGACTATGACTAGTAGTAAATAAAGGCTGAAGACTCACATCAAGTTTGTCTTCAGCAAAAAGGCAAATGAGTACTCAAATGTCTATACTGCTTTTCATGAGATCCTACTGTGATGGATTTTGTGTTCAATTAATGCAGCTAAAGTTTAAATGAGAATTTCTTATCTGAGTGTAAAAAAGACTGCTTTATTGAAGTTGACTCTGGGTCCACAGTAGGTACATACTTTAAAATCTAGTTTTATGATCATGTTTCACCGGAGTGCTCTTAGACAACAAAGGAATTTTGTTGTCTAACTTTGTTGGGGTATACCAATTAAAATGGTGAAATCTACAATGAATGTAGCCTGATTAGTTTGGAGACAAAAACAAGAAAGTTAATTTTCATAAGGCACATGTGTGCTATTTGTGCTGAGGATGTCTTCGACAAATATAATTTTAAACATTTGAGACATTTTATTGTTCAAAGAAAAATTGCTGACTTCATCACAGCTATAAGCCTAGTAAAAACAGAGCCTGGAATAGTAAACTAGTTCAGAGCTGAGGCAGAAACAGGTAACCTCTGACCTCTGACTTTTACTAGAAAATGATATGCGGCATAAATCCAAGGGGCCTTTTTTTCTTTCAAGTACGTGTATGTCTATGTTATGGTGTTGCCATTCACAGCACTGTAGTTAAGGTGGTGTCAGCACTTTCAATATGAAGCTGTACTTTCATAACTCTCCTTGCACTAGGAGTTTTCACAAAGCTGTAAGTGGAATCTAAATTCCTTTTCCTGTAGCCCAAAATTGCTACAAAGGGTCACAGTCTAGCCTTTTATTTGTTTCCCTCTCTTCTCTTTGTCTTGCTTTTAAAAACTTGTATCATTTGGGAATACACAGGTAGTGTCATTGCTGCATTGAAGGCTTGAAAACTGCTGAAATGCCCTTGAATTTAAAATTGTAATGCATAAGTTTTCTCAGACATAATCAGATAAGAGGATTTTCAGAGGGCACATGCCCAATACCAGTTCTTCCCCTCTGACATGCGGTAACAAGGAATTAAGAATGTTGTATGCTTCTTTTTCCTTCAACAAGTTCTCTCCAAAGGCCTATTTAATAATGAATTTGATTTTAACCAGGAACCATATATTCTTCACACTACTAGTTTTCTACTTTGGATGTTTCTTATTTTTTCTCTTTATATTTTTATATCTAAGACTGCCACCTAGTCTTCTTAAGCATTTTCACATACATTGTCTCTTTTGAATGATCTCAGCTGAACCATCTTAACTTAATCCTGGGTGGCAAGCAAATAAAATAGGTCTAGCCCCATTTGACAGATGAGGAAAATAAGATGTGGAGAAACCATCTGACCTAAACTTCTAGTTTGCTGATGATGTGTATACGGTTTTTCTCATCATACTCACTTTTCTCACCTTTCCACCAAATAACCAAAGTGAGACCCTACTTTCTATTCACTGTGATCAAATAGAAACTCTCTGTGCTGATTTCCCTTACGCCCCTCCACCAGCTTGATGGCAGGGGTGGTGGGAACCCCACCTTCAGTGTCACTTGCCTTTCCTTGTGGGTTTTCTTTGGCAGTGAGATGTGTTCCTGCTAAGTGCAGAACGATGCCTGCAAGTGTTGCTGCAACAACTTACGCACATTTCCATGCCAACCATGACCCTTCTAAACCTTTTTCTCGTTCCTGAGACCTGCGGAGCTGGGTCTTTGTGCAGCCTTCGGATTAACTGTGCACAGTGGCTTTTCCATGTTTCCCCTGTTTGCCTTTTCTGGCAGGCATGGATGTGTAAGCTGTGCCAGCATTTGGCCTGTAATACATGTCCTAAATAGTTATTTACACAGTTTGAGTCCATTTTAGTCAACCGGGTAAATAACAGCCCTCTTCAAAAGATTTATAAATCCATAAATATGTCTTTATACATACCCAATAGACAGAAATAACTCAATCTGTCAAGAACATATCCAAAGAGGTGTTTCCCCCACAGACAGAAGTAATACATATTTTAAAACTTTCTCTACTGTATTATTTGAACTGCATTTCCTTTTCCACACTTCTTTTCAATTTTTACCACTTCATTATGGCACCTGTGGTACAAAAAAGATAAAGGAAAAAAGAATTTCCCCAGGTTTTGGTCCTCCATTAAATAACCTTATCTGCTGCATAGTATAGGCATGTAACAGACTCTATATAGATCTCCACTGAGTCCCATTCTTTTAAACTTTCAAAATAAAGAAAATAAAATAAGTTATGCAGGAAATTTTTAACGTTCTAATAGGATCTCAAAATACATGAATAGTTCCTGACAACTTGAGAGATTTTGAGTGCCTGATAATTTGCCAAATTAGTAGTTGTTGTGATCAATAAAATAGTTTTAGTACAAATTTTTACCTAAGCATAATATATATATATATATTTAATTTAATCCTAGGTATTCTAAAGAGAATATACATAAGGTATGTAATTAAGAGAACATCAAAGCTACTATTTTTCTGGGATTTAATATTTGCTCCTGATTTACATAACATAGCTTTCCCCCAACTCAAATTATATATCATGATAGCTCTTCCTATGACATCTACTTTCATTCAGTATTAATACATGGGGCCCTTGCAAGAAATTGATTCTTTAATAGTGAAACCCCTTTAAATTGGCATTTAAGAGGGAGGGCCTCACATCTGTGTTTGGTTGGGGATTCTGCTGCTGTTGCTACAACACTGATTTTGTTTACTCTTTAACCTCCTCAAAGCACTTCCAAAGATATTAGATTGAGTCCTTATTTTATCCCTGGCAATTATGTGCTTTATTTCCCCATTTTGCAGGAGAAAGAAGTAATAGCTCAGGAATATGGAGGAGTGAATAGCTGTCAAAGTCAGCTCCAGGATCTTGGTCTCCTGGCTTTGCTACTGCTTTAGGCCGAGGTGTCTGTTTTCAGGACTGCCAAGTAGTGTCTCATAATATGAGGCACGCGATGGCAGATAAGCATGCCTTTCATGTGTCCTTTTGATCCTACCGTGCGTGGCTGCCCTACTGACCATATTCAGGGCCTACCCTAGGAAGTATGTCGTTTGGTGTGGGAGAACAGCCAGCAAATCTGGTGCCTCTTTCCCCCAGATTTGTACTCCTTCCCAGGAGGGCAGCCTCATAAGCAGCTTTAGCTATGATTGACCACATTTTGGGCTTGGACATGTCTCTCGTTTTGGTTTGAAGTCAAGAGAGCTGAATGAATGATAGCAACACAGTAATAAAATAGGGAATTAAGGGCTGTCAGTCAGTGTAGGTATTTCCATTCCCTCACTTTTCAAGTGAGGTCACAGAGACTCCAGAGGCAAGGAGACTTGTCTAAGGCCACATGCTACGTGGGGGTCGAGTCGGGACTTGAACCCATGCCATCTGATTCCAGAGCTCAAGCTCCTGGCTACCACATCCCATTTGATATGCTGCTTTAGTGTGGCTTAGGAATGGAAAACAGATATTTGACAGACATTCTTTCTGTTACCAGTTTGACAACTCTTTCCCTGGTGTCTGTACTGAGCCTGGTGCTGTGCTCTGTAATGGTGGCTGAGCTATGAATAAGACAGAATCAGCCTTAGACTCAGAGCAGTGATCCTCTCCTGGGGAGGGGGAATCTGGTCTTGCCTGCTACGTAGAATGATGACTGAGGAATTTACAAAGGGTGCATGATGACTGATATGATTAATTGGTATTATGTATTGAGAACATATATATGCCATTTTACTCATTCAAAGAGTGATTGAATTGAAAATAGGCACATGGAAACAAGTAAGGATATTTCTCTCGCAGAACATTTCCCACTTAAAGCTCATTTTATTTTCATCCTTTGTGAGGGTAGAGAAGAAAAGTATTATTTCTACATTGAAATTGGATGCAAAACGTTTCATCCCTAATAGAACCTCTAAAACCCACTTACGGACTTCTCCTTTTGGGGGCAAGGCTCAGATCAACAATAGTACCACACACACACACGCGCACACACACACACACACACACACACACACACACACACACACACACACAAATAAAAGAAAACCAGCATGTTTCTTTAAAGAAGAATAATTGAAAACAACTGCTATTTCTTGATAATACTGTATCAATAGTTGCAGGGCCTCCCTCTCCCACCTCCGTCCACAACAGCTTTTGTATGAGTTTGGGCAACTGATAGGCAGAAGGCAATTCCATTTATTCTTGAAGGGAATCTCGAGGCAGTTGCTCCAGACCTGTGAAACCAGCGGGCAGAGCTGCCTGCGAGGGGGTGGTGAGCAAGTGGAGAGGGAGGTGGGGAAGGGCCACATTATGTTCCAGATGACTGAGCAACGATTTATATACCAGCTCGCCTTTTTACATGAAG